GATTATTCTCGTTACTATTGTATTACCCGTACTCTTTTCTTGAGCGATTGAAACACAGATATTTTAAGTAAGACGAACCGAAGGTCAGTAGATAGATGATTGTATATTTTAAGTGACTAATCAAAAATCTCATCGAACCAATCGTTTTCTTTCCCGTTTCTTTTTTCGTTTTACACTGTATCCGTGAAATCGCTGAGATTTTCTGTTACACGGTAAAATAAGTGCGCAGTAATATAGTGTTCCGAGCAAAGAACGTTTCTTCGAGGTGTGTGTACATTAATTAACGCTGCTACGCGAGTATGATGACTTCTTTCCTTTTCTCTTGAATGATTTTAACTGACATTATGTGTAAAATAAACGTACAAGATCAAAGTTAAAATGGGTAGGTGAAAAGAATACGACTATTCATCTTGTATATACGCAAGGTATATACGCACACGTATATCAAAAACGAAACTCGTTTATGCAGTGGCTACAAAAAGTACCGTCACACGACTGGTTTAGCGTTCACGCGCTAATTAACTGAATGTAAAAAATATACTCGAAACTTTGCAACGTCCGACAGTCGCCTCGCGTCGCCGGGAAAACTGTTGCCGCTGAAACTTGTAAAATCCGATTAAAGAGCTGCCACGTTGACTGCGGGAGGTACGAGGGTACGTATAGACACGCGAGTATCTTTTGTAGTCACTGTATATTGGGAACAAGCTGTTAACACTGTCGAGTCCCAGCTATTTTTGCGCCTCTCGTTTCCCCAAAGCTGTTCTTCTTTCTCGAGCCCGTGAACCGTGAACGAAGATTCGAAACGACGGAAGTCTTTTTAGAAATCTTTCTTTCCTAACGATTAAAATTAACGAGATGATATATTTTTTAACAGATCGTTCAAATCTGATACGATTACACGACGTGATACAAATTTAAATATTTACTGATCGAGGTGGTCTGGCGAAAAAGGAATTGAACGATGTCTGGCCCCCATTTCTTTTGGAGATTTTTCTCTTCGCGAGAATTGTGTTTAGAGAGAGCGATACCAATAGAATCGTAACAATATTTAGAAGTCTGTGATGTCTGTTAGATTACAAGCCACATCGTTGTGTAGAATCGTTTACCCGGAAGTAAGGATCAGAAGTATTATTCGATAGGGTCCGATCTGACCGCGACTTTTTCGACGGGTTTTATAATCACGAGGCGCGGTGCGAAGGAAGAGAAGAGAATAACGAAAGACTAAAATTAGGTCGGAGGCGCGTTAACTGTGTATACATGCATATGTGTTTAAATAGACTGCGGATTGAAAGATTGGTTGTTCCCGGAGAGGTAGAACGTAGAACAGAGGCGCGAGCTTCGCGGAAGATGCTCGTTTAATTAGAGAAACGGACACGGTAGGGAAGAAACAAATGGAAAACGATGCGAAAGAGGCGGAGCAAGCCTTGGAATTGAAGTCGATCGTGATTAGAGATGTTGTTTTTTTCAGAAGTATTTATGTAAATAGATGACAAAGCGTGGATTATCGTTATCGTACAGATAGATATAGGGTACGTGTGCAGAAGGGATAAATGTATATAGGAATACGCGAGATTTCAATCCCAAGTCGAGCTGTTCCGTCGATATGTCGAAGTACGTGCATCGCATATATACATACATCCATACATATGTATCGAGGAAACAAAAGAGAGTGTCGCCGTCGTATCAGTTTCCCGATTTTCTTCATATTCTGTTATTATATTAAATAAAAGTTACTGTAATATTTCTAAGGTCGCTTATTAACTTAAACACGAACACAAAGAATGCACGTATACACCGAAATTTGACTTTATTTTCAGAATTCGAAAGACACGAAACGTAAGAGTGTTTTTTGATTTGAGAAGAAGGAGGAAAGGAGAATTTTTCAATTTTGTCTCATCCGGTACATTGAACGGACCGTCGCTAAGCATCGATTAGGAGTGTAGTAAGTTCTACCTTTCGATCTCCAACGCACAAAGATGAACGATGCGTGAGAAGGCGAACAAACTTTTGATTATTATCCTACGACGATTGTTGCCAATTCTTTTCAGAAGAATCGCGTATTCTCGCTGAGGTTCGATTCTAGCAATAAAACTGAACGTACAGGAGATACGTACATCCCTGTATCCGCAACAACAGATTTGTCTCTGCTTTAAATTTCCCTGAAAGATGTCCTAATCCTAATCCAGAGTCGTTTCGCTTACATGAAAGCTGATAGAGCAAGTTAATCGTAAGTAAATTCGGAATCAATTAATATTTTGAATCAAAAAATTATTATGCATACGACATTGGATGAAAGCAGCAGACAAAAGACATGGTTTGTGAATGACAATCCTGAATCCATGTTGAAATATACGTAGCATCGTCTGCAAAGACTGGAAGACTGTCTAATGGTGACGCTAACTCCTCTTGCTATCCATCGCATACGAGCCAATTCCTATTGAAAGGAGTCACGTTTCCCAAGAGTCACTAAGGGAAGCTGAGAGAAGGGTAGTTAGTTAGCGATGGCCTCGACGCGCTCCGAATCCTCTCAATTAACGAACAGAGATTGGAGAATCAATAACCAAAATCATTTTCTGCGCAAGTACCATGCACGACGCAATCTCCTATAGATCAAATAAAAGAGAACTTATGATGCAATTTTTAATATGTAAAAATGAAAAATTGACACGTACGCATTGGATATCGATACTTGTGCAATAATTCCGCGCGATTTCAACAAATGCGTATGAACTTTCCCCTTTTCGAAGAGATCCAGGGAACCAGTTGCGCGTCGTTCGATCATCCTCTCGAGAGCCCCGAGGAAAGATGGGGAATTGGAGTACGCGGGTGCCGGCACACGGGAAGATCGATCGCGAAGTCGCGTCGCGTTTTGAGGCCATCGCTGCTGGCCGAGGGTGGTCGGAGAAGAAAAGAAGGACGGGCGGTCGGGGGTGGATGGGTGAACGAGTGGGGACCCGGTGGCCGAGGGGCGGCCAGGGACAGGGGGTGGTGTTCGTCGTCGTTGTATGGCGTACGCGCATGTTTCTTCTCCGCGAAATGGATCGATGCTGGAAATAGCTCGACCCGCAGGAGAGTACGAGGTGAGTCGGCTTCGCTTTCGGCAGGGCCTTCGCGGCTCTCTACGTCCGCTTTGTCGCCGGTTTTCCAGACCGAAAGGAAAACGTAACCCGAGCCACGGTTCGTCTTCGTCTCGAGCGCTTATTTTCCGCGAGCTTCCCCGACGCCGGCGTTCCGTATACGCGTTTGTCCGCCGGATATTCCTCGCCGCGACCTCGTTCTTCCTCTCCGATCGAGAGAAAGAGAGAGAAAGGAGGGGGATAATATTTCTCTCTCTCTTTCTCTCCTTCTTCTCGCGACACACGCAGTCTCTTCTTCTTCTGTTTCTTCTTCCTTCCGGTGCTCCGTTCCTACTTTCTATCAGTGCGTGCTTCGACGATCACATCCCGGTTACTCGAGAAAAGATTACTCGAGGGAATCTCGATCACGGGATGACTCGAAAAAAATGTGCGTCGTACCGATGTGGCTGACGAGGCTGGAATCGTAAGTACAGTACCGAGATCGGGTTTACAGTCCGGGGCTTTCCTTTTTCGTCAACACCGCTACTTATTTAGAGGAACGATAGTAAGACACGAGAACGAAAATCGTCTGGCTGTCGCACAGACATCTACGCTTTTCCACCGACGATTGATCCGCTCGAGAAGACCGCACTCGATTCTCTGCTAACTATTCTTGACACGATCAGATGGCAAAACGACGCGCGCTGTTTCCTAATCTCGTTACGTGAGAATTTTAATATTCACATTGGCGCTATTGAAACGCTGACACGATAGTCGAATTATGTGTATGCAACGATCATTTAATAAATACTACGTCTCCCGAAGTCTACGTATTGCGCAGATACTGGAACAGTTTTAATGAAAATTACATCACGTTTTGTCATTTGATTTATTCTTCATACGCTTTTCCCTCCCCAAGCTGTGCTTTGCTCTTAAGATTTTCCTTTGAACCCTAACGGAACTTCTTCAAGGAGATCCCTCAGAGGAATTTTCTTAAGGAGGAATATTTCCTGTAGTCTCGAACGCTCTGTCTGTCTTGCACTGTCATAGAATCGATCGAACGTAAAGACTGTGTCAAAGTAAATGTGACGATGTCTAAGAAAAGACAGTGCCCTGATAATGTTTATAGTAGACGGGCAGAAATAAAAGAAAATGGGCGAACTAGAGCTATAGTACGTAGGTAACTTATGATCGGATAATGAAACGTCGCGTGTGTAGTTTCTTTCGGCATGCAATTTTAGATTAGAGCAATTTAAACGAGTCTTTAAAAGAAGATTTGAACAGTCATTAAAAGCATAATTCTCTATAATGCTAAGTATAAATCATGTCGAAAATATTACAGTTTTTACATTTTAGAAGGTCGACAGATACAGTATTGACGCGTACCCGTTTCGCTCTTCTAAAAAAGCGTTCTATTTTTGGTGCTGTTAGAAAATTGTTTACATCTTTCATGGACTGGCATTTAAATATTTATCATCTGGTTATAGAAAAACGTTCTGGTCTTTGAAACTTGACGGCTTCGTGGTCGTAGCTGACGCAGCAATGATCGTTGCTAAGACGATAATGAAGCAGCTCATTGAGAACTGGCTTGGTCGATACGCTTCGTGCATACCTACTGCTTTCCGCCGCGAATTCGCCCTCAGTGATACACGTTGAATTATACATCTTGTCCATTATCCTGGCATCTGTTCTGCACGGGCCAGTGCCGTTTCCCCTTTCGCAACCCTTCCTTTTACAAATTATTCTACGTCCTACGTTAAATATCAAAAAAAAAGAAGACGCGTTATTTTACATTACAATGATAAATGTAAAAATACAAATTGTTGAAGATTAATTTCTTATCAATTCTAATTTACGAATTCCCATTTTGAAATGACGCAGTTTATAAGTGACGGGTCAATAAAAGATCGGGAGATACTATTATTCTATTAAGAAACAATGCATTTCGTTTCATAATTTTGGATATGTTTCCGTGTGGCCATAATTGAATGGATTTTACGAATTCCAGCGAATTACGCTGCTATAAAAAGTGACTAGGTGATATAAGCTTGGTGCCGGTATTACGCGTGCGTCCTAACGGAAACGGGAATTCGATGAACAAGTGTTCTTGGATATTGGAGCAACGTTCCTCGTCGAAACTTTTTCAATTACGTCACAAATCCGAGAGATTACTCTTTCGCGTTGAGTTGTTCTCTAAAAAGTCGCATTTCGGCCATTCGATGTCTTTTTATCTTTCGAATAATTAATTATTTCAATAATCATCTGCTTTATTAATTTTCCCAGTGGATTCGTCTATCGCTGGTTACTTTTTTTATAAACTGACACTCGCGTAGGCTAAAGTCGTTGAAGCCGGCTGGAATTCATAGATTGAAATTTTCTAAATATAAGCTCCAGACACGCGTGCCATTCTTCTACTTTATTGAGTTTCGTGACCTCACTCCTTCCCTTTCCATTTTCTCATTCGTAGGAATTAGTATAAAAATACGATTCGACTGGCAATTAACTGGCATCAAGCGACGTGTTCTTGATTCCGTGTGCAGGGACACGAACTGTATCGGTCGATAATCTCTATAGACTCGGTGACGCGGTTGGGGCCAAATTTAATTATCTGGATACCGGAGATAAGAGTAATGCCTTATCGTGTCAGTAACACAGCTGTCTATATCGTTTCGCGTTATTTTATATCGATTTAGTACGACATTCGTCCTGTGCTATCTACATTGGCCTGGACAATTTTTAACATTAGATTCACTCGTTTTATATTCTACTTCACAATGACTGCTACAAAGCCAATCTAATAATGAATCACGTCTGTGAATGATTTACAGAGTTCACTAAAAGCTTTCCACAATTTCGAGTTTCAGCGAAAAGGGTCGGCGAATCGTACGTCCCTCTCTGTTATCTTCTGTCTGATCGGATTCAGGGAGGATCGTAGAACTAGAACAGTGGCCTTAGACGAGATTGCCGGACTCGATTCCTCGGACGGGTATCGATTATAGCTTCCTAGCGTGTACGCAGCTGTACTGGTATCTCTGTATCGGTTTCAGCAGTCAGGCCGAAGGGGGTGGTTCGCGACGAGTTTGTTAGCACACCGAAACCACCTCGCCGTGCCGGTAATCTGGAGCACGTGTCCTCTCTCTGTCTCCCTTTGACTCGGACTAGTTATCGACGAAATCCTGTTCTCTCTATGCACCCTATGCGGTGTCGCGCCCTTTCGCCGTCGGTGACTCGTGAACTTGAGGACAGTTTATCGATTTAAGCTACCCCTGGCCATTTTGTCTAAACTTTTCTGGGTAATTTTTATTTACAATGGGACGACCGTTCGCAGTAGCGAGTATCGGTTTGTAAAACCTGAATTTTATTTCCATCGTAAAAATTGGATTATTCCAGATGACAATTCTTGACTTGAGGATTAGTTTCAGAATGAATATAATGCCTTTTAATGAACGGTGTAGATAACACACAAGGTTCTGAATTCAATACGGGATATCGTTAACTGTGAACGGTATTAATTAAATTCCATTCGTAGCGGATTAATATGCAAAGTACGTCCATCACGTAAGACCTTAAGCTTCTTATCAAAACTAGATGGGGATTGTGCTGGTCGATCGAAAGGTGGACGGAATCGCGTGTGCCAGAACCCGCTGGTTGCAGTTCACCGGAGGGTGCCATTGGGAAGGGTACATAAAAAACGTGGATTCGATTTCCCACCGTGAACCTTGAAAGCTTCGTCGTGTTACGTACGCGGGTGACCTAAAACCGGCGACGAGGGAAGAATAATAAAGATTTCTGGCGCTGTTTTCCTCCCCTTATCGCGGAGGGTATTGTGCGAGGTTCGAAGGAAGGGTAAAACTGGCAGGAATACAGTATTGCGATCGATCGGTCTATTCTGGCAACGATCCCACCACACGAAACGCGGATTTGTATCGAGCCTGTGAAAAAAAAAAATTCTAGATAAAACCAAATCGCGAGACAGACTCGTGTTCGCTTCAGTCGCCGCGACTTCAGAGACGATCGAGTTGTTTCAGGCCGTTCGGCGAGATCTCCGTGTGGTAAGAATGGACGGGGCGAGTGTTTCGCGATGTATACGCGTTAAAAAAGGACCGGACGAATTTAGAACGGAGGTCATAAAGTGTGACTGGCTAAATAAAGATCGGTAGTGTGCAACAAGTATTCGACGGTGGAGAGATCGAGCGAAGTAGTGTTCCTCGTGTGAGAACCACAGTTCTGTTCGCGAGCACGCACACGCATGTCGTTCACCGACCTTGCACGCTTCTCGTTTCACAGATGAATGAAAACAGTAGATTTCACTTATCGTTGCAGTAAATAAAACAAAGTCACGATGAATCTACGTATGTTTTGTTCGATATGGATTCTTTAGATGTAATTATTGTGTCTATCGTAGATCTACGGTTTTTCCAAGTAAACAGAACTTGCTGAGAATCTTTAGACCTTTATTCCACGCGCGACAAGGGTTTAAAGTTAGAGTCTAAAGATAGAGCAAGGGATTTTGATCGAAGAAAACCTGATCGGTTTCAGGGGCCTCGCTTGTTCCACGTTAGTTCTTAGAGGATGCACAAGCTAGCCAAGGGCCTGAAGAAGAAGAAAAAGCAGAAGAAGGGTAAGAAGGGAGCGGAGGAGGACGATTTCGACCCGGAGGAGCTCGAGCGTTATAGGCGCGAGCGGGCGGAGGCCCAGCAGAAATCTGAGGAATCCGGCGAGCAGGCGAGCACCGCCACCAGCTCCGACGAGTGGAAGAAGTTCGAGGCGTTGACCGCCGGTGTCGACTCGATCCTCAGGAAGACTCAGGGCGACCTTGACCGCATCAAGTCGACTTCGTTCTTCCAACGAAAACCACCCTTACAGGAAGAGAAGAAGGGAGAGGAGGAGGACAAGGACCAGGACCCCGATAAGAAGGCCTCGAAGAAGTGGGTCGGTTTCGACGAGGAGGGAAATCCGATCGAGGGAGAGCCGCCAGATTTCGAGAATAAGAAGGAGGACAAACCTCTGGTAAACGAGGACGGTTTCGTCGAAGTACCAGACGATGAAGATGAACACGAAGATTCGGGCGAAGAAGACATCTTCGACACCACCTACGTCGACGTCCTTCAGAACATCGACGTCCAACTAGCTTACATTCCTGACAGTCCCACCGAAGAAGAAGCCGGTGACGATCCATTCGACACCACCAGCGCTGACAAGGTTCTCAAAACCGTCGATAAAACCGGGAAGAAGCTAGTCAGCCTAGGGAACGCGGTCGAGGTACTCTCCGGTAGAATCGACTACGTGAGCTCCTGCAAGATCACCAAAGGCAGGCGCCCCAGGCTTCAGCAGGACCTCCTGTTGGACGATTTCGAGGAACCAGAGAAACCCGCGGATAGCAACGTTGTCGCGGAACCGATTCAAGTGGAGAAGACCTTGCTAGACGATGACAGTGACCTTCCGGACATTCCTATAGATCTAACGAAACTTCCACCAGTTCTACCCAGACCCGTTAGCCCGGCCGTCGATCAGGAGGCTGCAGCGGAAAACAAACCGGCGAACGGACATTTGGACATCTCCGAATTCGAAGCTTTGAAAGAGAAGACTATATTGGAAGAGATCCCTGACTTAGACGAAGGGGAATTCGACCTTGATGCGGCACCAGACGAGCCAGTGTGCCTTGAGGAGGCTGAAGACCCGTTCGAGAGCAAAGACCCAGGAGCTGTAGATTTCCAGTCGGAGATAATCGAAGCCAGCTTCGAGGCTGCTACTTTCGCCGACGAGAAAGACCCATTCGACACCACCTTCGCCGATAATATCCTCCCCGGCAAGACAGAGCTCAAGTTCATCGAGAAAGAGTTAGAAGAACTTCCTGTTTCTGAAGTCACCATATCCCTGACCGACCCTGCTGGATTGCACAGGGACTACGAGACAGGTTTGTTAAAGAGGCAAAATGTGCCGACGAAAAGCGATTTGCAAGGGAAAAAGGATCTACTAGGAGGTTCCACGACCGATCTGAGCCAGCTCGCGGACGAGCCGATAGCTCCTATAGAGGATATAAGCTACGTCGACCCGTTTGACACTTCAGCGGTGAAAGAAATTCCACCCGGGAAGACGGAGCTCAAATTTCTCGAGCAAGAACTCCTCGGCGAGCAGCCGAAGATTTCGAATTCCTACGAGGACGACGACGATTTCGATCCTAGAAAGGACGAGCAACCGGTCGCAACTGAGACCGTAGCGAGCAAACCTCCACCGAGACCACCTGCGCTGGTGAAACCTACTTTCCAAGTCGATTTCGACGAGGAGGAGGAAGAGAACAAGAACGAGCCTGCCGATCGTGGGCGTAGATCCTCGAGGCCGGAAGTGCTCGAACTAGCGCCGGCCAAAGCAGTCGCGTTCGAACTACCGACACCGTCCAAACGACCCGATCTGCTCACCACTACCGAAGAGGAAAAGTCGTTACCGTCGAAGCCACTTACTCCGTATTACTCGCAAAAGTCGATCGAGGACCTTCTGCCCATCGAGGAGGAAGAGGTCGATGTCGATCCGTTCGACACCAGCTTCGTAGCGAAGGCAGCGCCTGGTAAAACGGAACTGAAGCTGATCGAGTCGGAGTTGTTGAAGCAGCAGGAGCCGCGGCTGCCGCACAGCTTGAGCGATCACGACTTCGACCCGCGCTCCGAAGGAGGTTCTGCCCGTCGGCAGAGCGACTTCACGGCCAGTTCCATCAGACCGAGCAACTTGAAGTTAAACGATCTACAGAACGAAGTGCTGAAGAAGTTCGAGCAGCAGAATCAACCGAAGCTGCAGGAGAGGCAACAGAGTTTATTGGACGAGACGATCGAGGTGGATGCGAAGCCTCTGACGCCGAGAATCGAGGCGAAACCAGTCGAGGAAGAGATCTCTTACGAAGATCCTTTCGACACATCCATAGCCACTAACATTCTCCCCGGCAAGGCAGAACTGAAGGTCCTCGAGAGTGAGCTGGAGCAGATTCCCGTGGAAATTCCCATTCGTCCAGCACCGATCACTTTGACAGCAATCGTTAAAACTGTAGTTCCGGAGATTGACCCAGATTTCGATCCCAGGGCCGACGAGAAAAAGGAGGCGACGGATTTCTTGAGCATCGACGACCAAGACCCCGGTGCGAAAGTGCTCACTCCATTACAGAACGAGAGTTTCAGCTTGGGAGAAGACGTGGATCCTTTCGACACCAGTTTCGCTAGTATAGGACCAGGGAAGACGGAGTTAAAGCTGCTCGAGTCCGAGCTAATGGAAAAATAGAAGCTGTTTTCTCCGTTTTCTTTTTCTACTCTTCTTCCTCTGAAGGACTCGTTGCGCATTTCTAGGGCCAGAGAAGAGAAAATAGGAACGCTCTTTATCTTCTTCCACTTCGTTTAAAAGACTCTTTGCCGACGCTGTCCGCAATTCCACATCGTGAAAGTACTACTACTTCGAATAACTACGCTTAAGCTAGTCAATTAAATCTTCAAAATGGATTCCAAAGGAGGAAATCCGTTCCTGATGGACGACTACGGCGCTGAGGCGAACGTGACCAATCAAGCGTCGAACCCGTTTCTCCAGGATTTCGAAGATACGGAAACCACCGGTGGAGGGGAAAATCCGTTCCTAAATTTCGGCGGAGACCAATCCTTCCAATCGACCGTCGCCGTCGACTCGACGAACCCCTTCGCCTCGTTCGCCACCGATACCACCGAGCCTGGCGCCGGTTACGAGGAACCCGCCACGGATATTACTCCAGAAAACATATTCGCTAACCAATCGACGAACATATTTGTCAGCGAGGCGAGTCCGAACCTGTTTGACGTGCCGTCTACTCAACCTGACGATGACCTCTTCGGTCATACCGCACCACCGCCGAGTCCGGCAACGGTGGGACCGGTACAACCGAAGAACGGCAAGCCTCTACCCTCGAGACCACCCCCGCCGAGGCCACAACCACCGGTGCCTCCCAAGAACACCAAAGATCTGATACTATCCGTGACCGGTGCTATGGATGCAACTTCTAATCATCTTTTAGATCGGCTACAGGTTTGTGTGCATCGTGTATATACATACAATAAACAAAATAGACTTCTCATGTATTTTACTGATATTTATATTAGCTGATTCGTATGCTAATCGATATGATCATTGTTTACAGGCAACGAGAACACCTAGCCCTACTCTGATGCATTCACCGTCTCCCACTCCGGAACACAGTTTCGCAGATCTTCTGGACGTCGATTCGAACGTCCCAGATTTGATTCCGGATGATGCGAAAATGGAGTTGCCGCAGAACCAGGACATCATGGACCTCTTCGACGCGCCCAACACAGATACCACTGCGACTACCATATTTTCCACCTCGATGACAACCGGAGACACTACTAGTTTGGTAACGACAGCCCTGACCGATATGACGGGTCAGGAAAATCCGTTCGCAAGTATCCCGGAACAGGAAGCGTCGCCGCCACAAGCCGAGGATGCATTGAAGTCGGACTTCGCCGAAACCGCGTCCGAGACCAGCGACAAGAGACCCTCGATAGCCTCTACGACCGGCGTCGTGGGAAGCGACAGCGAAAAAGCCGGCATCGATTTAGACTTCACCGCGGAATCTCCAGTCGTCTCAGAGACTGTGCAGTCTCGGAAACCGTCGGCCACTGCCGCCGAACTCTTCGCGATAAGTACAGAACAGTTAACAACGGCCGCTACTGAATCGTTCTTCTCCGTCGCGGAGACGACCACCCCGTTTGGAGCAGTGGACACCACCCCGTCTATTCCATTCTCCAACGCGCAACCCCTATTCGCGACCACTGAAGTCACCACCGCGCCTAGTCAGCCCGGCGGGCCGTTCTCCGACTTGCTCGGGGACTTTGGCGAACCTACGAAAGACACGACTACTATAACGTCGACCAGTCCGATCCCTGGAGCTGAATTTCCGATCAACGAAGTGTACAAGCCTGAAGAGCAGCTTGACAACTTTGCAGCCACGACGAAAACCATGGAGAATGCTGGAGACGCGTTCGACATCTTTGCTTCCAAGTTCGACAAGGCAGCGGAACAAGAAACTAGCACTGGGGATCCGTTCTTGGATGCGTTTGGTGGCGGCGGTGGTGGTGGACCCACCGCCATGGACACGTCGAGTGATGGTAAAGAAGTTGATGTTATATAAGTTTCTCATCGAAAATCAATTTCGGTGTACACAATCTATGATATGTCTGAATATGATTGGTCTGAACAATTTTTAACTTACTGATAATTCTAGTTTGGGGCGATACCTCTGCAACCGGTTCGGAAACAGCAGTAAGCGGATTTGGAGAGGCGGATGGATTTGACTCGTTCCTCAGCATGACTGCTCCTCCACCAGAGCCAACGATCAAGAGAAGTGAATCTGCAGAATCGGACGAGGGACCAGACTTCAGTGTATTCATTAAGTAAGCGAGGAAATAATTTCTTAATCTTGTCACAGATGAACGCGCGTACTGATTATTAATGCGTTCTGTTTTTAAAAGACCGAAGGAGGATGATCAAACCGCTACATTAGAAACTGGAGTCATGCCCGTATTAGCACCACCACCAAAGAGTCCACAGAACACGGCGTATGCCGATACCTCGCCACGTTTCAACCCCTTCGACAAGTCGGAATTCGCGCAGGATGCTATACCTACCACGGAAGTCGTTCAACCTGCTGAACTGACCAGAACAGATTCTCAGGTATTATGAAACCATTTACCATTTTAATTTTTTCAATACTTATATCGGGTACGAAAATATTCACTTGGAGAGAAATATGTGTGCAACACTATAATTAATAGGACGGCGACTTTATTTATTTATGAAATAATAAAATTATGAAATATTTTTATTTGTTTCCAGGAAACACCGCCCACTCCTTTATTCGACGAGGACGTTAGTCAACCTCTGGAAGATTTCCCAAGAGTGACGTACACCGGTGATGGCTGGGACATGCATCTGCGTCAGCCGAACAAGAAGAAAATAACCGGACAACGGTTCTGGAAAAAGATCTTCGTACGATTGGTCTACCAGGGTGACAATCCTGTGCTTCAGTTGTTCAATACCAAAGACGACAAGGACCCCTTTCAAGAGTTACCTCTGCTTGCGTCTTACTCCGTTTCGGACATCGCCGCCCAACAATTCGATCAATTCGGAAAGATATTCACCGTCAAGTTACAGTACATCTTTTACAAGGAGCGACCCGGAGTTCGACCTGGTCAAGTGACCAAGGCGGAGAGAATAACGAACAAGATTAGCCAGTTCGCAGCGTATGCTATTCAAGGTGACTATCAAGGGGTGAAAGAATTTGGAAGCGATCTGAAGAAGCTTGGCCTCCCCGTCGAACACGCGCCGCAGGTACGCATAAAAAAATTGATAATGAGCAGAACTGCGCAAGTTTAATATAAAAATCGTTTGAAGATTTATAATCGCACTACGAATTTTAAGGCATTTTCAATCTCGATTTAAAAATACGATCTGAATAGAAATTTCTTAAAAATAATAACATGCATTTTACTTTTTTTTGCAGATTTCTCAGCTGTTCAAACTCGGTTCGCAACGTTATGAGGACTTGAAGACGTTCTCCTGCGCGATAGAAGAAGCTCTGTTCAGACTGACAGCGCATCGAGATCGAGCCCTCAATTACAAGATGGAAGAGGTCCAAATCTCGGTCGTGGATGAACTCTACGTGGAACAGAGCGCCCAAGGCGTCGTTGAGAAACAGATAGCACGTGTTCGACTGTTCTTCTTGGGCTTTCTTTCCGGTAAGAATATATTTCCCCTAAATCTTTCACGGCGATCTTAATGTCAATTCCTCGATTTAATCACAGGAATGCCTGACGTCGAATTGGGAATAAACGATATGTGGCGTCAGGGGAAGGAAGTGGTGGGCAGGCACGATATTATCCCAGTGGTAACGGAAGAATGGATTCGCCTCGAGAACGTCGAGTTCCATTTCTGCGTCCAGCAGGACGAATACGAAAAATCCAGAACCATAAAGTACATATAATTTAATCCTATCATTATATCCAGAATCGATGTGATTTAATCCTTGATACTAACGAAATGCTAACAACAACTAACCCGTTTGAAGGTTCAAGCCTCCGGATGCATGTTATATCGAACTGATGAGATTCCGAGTGAGGCCGCCTAAAAACAGAGAGCTTCCCCTTCAGCTTAAAGCTGTTATGTGTGTTACCGGTAACAAGGTAGCGTCACTAGGCATCTAACCGAACTAACACTAATCTAGTCTGAGACAACATATGTATATTTCCTTCGCAATCGATACTTGCTTCAGTCTTGATATTTTTACACCTCGAACGCCCGCGCTAGCTGACTCCGTTCGTTCGTTATTAACAGGTAGAACTGAGGGCGGACATTCTCGTGCCAGGATTCGCGTCTAGGAAATTAGGCCAAGTGCCCTGCGAGGATGTAATGGTCCGTTTCCCGATTCCGGAATGTTGGATCTATCTATTTAGGGTAGAGAAACACTTCAGGTACGGGTCTGTGAAATCAGCTCACAGGAGAACGGGAAAGATCAAGGGAATAGAGAGACTTTTGGGCGCGGTGGATAATCTGGAGCCTCAGTTGTTGGAAGTGACCTCGGGTCAAGCTAAATACGAGCACCAGCATGGTGCGATCGTTTGGAGAATGCCTAGGCTGCCGAAAGAAGGACAAGGTATGTCTCATTGATAAAGCAATCAAGTATTGTTCCACACGCCAGTGGTTCCCGAACTTTTTTCATTTGGGAAACAATGGCTCAGGAATGGGTCACGACTTCGATAAATGTTTTTTATGAACGATGTTATTTCCAGGAGCGTACACGACGCACCAACTGGTCTGTCGAATGGCCCTAACTTCCTACGACCAGATCCCTGAAAACCTCGCCGAGTACTGTTACGTAGAGTTCACGATGCCGGCTACCCAAGTGTCCCACACGACGGCCAGAAGCGTCAGCTTTCAGAACCATGACAGCGACGCTCCACCAGAGAAATACGTCAGAAATCTATCGCGGCACGAGTACAGGTAAATGTTCACGATACCACGTGTGATTTACATGCATCAATAAAAACTTTCGATGTGATCGGATCGTGTATATGAATTCTTATATCGGAGATCGTTAAATGGACGTCTCTGTGTTTCCACAAATTAAAATGCATGTCTGTCAAGGTTCATTTTGAAATCATCCTGACGCATTTTATCTGATTTCTCAGAGTTGGAATCGAGCACACACAGGGCGAAGGCCCGGCAGCGTACGTGGCAGCGACGTACACGAAGAAGATCCCGGAAACGACGCCTGAAGTTCCAGCTGAAGCTCATCCGGACGCCGCTGCGGAATCCGACTCGGATTCATCAGAATAATCATGAAAAGGTGGCGTGTAAGATATTTAAAAACTACTTGTTAATCGATAAGATGTATACAGGAAAACGAAACATTGTCCGTGACCGGACGCGTGGCGTTTCGCGAGTCGTCGCACGGAATGACTAGCAATTCCACGCGAGGAATTGCTCGCATAGAGATCATCGATGAATCGAAGCATATAATTATCGGCGTATTTTAACGCACATCAGTATTAAATGATAATCGACGTCGGTTCGCGTCGTATTTGAGATTGAACCGCGATCCGCGAAACGCAGACGCATCGCCGCGTGTTCATGCAACGCATAGCAATTAACGAAATGTACGTACGAAAGGAGTAATTTGTAAGGGAGGACAATACCGATTTTACGTTCAGTTTAGCTTGCTAAGTAGTAATACGCAGTTGCGGTGAAAGGCTTTGCTCTGTTCGTGGAAAGGACGAGTATTATTTAAATGTTACCAACCCTTAATCGAATGTTCGCTCATTTTTTTTATCAATGTGGATCAGTGTCAATGACGTTGGCAATTTTGTGGTAACGATGAGCACGATGATCGGAGGACAATAGATGTTAATTTAAGATGGTTGCAATGGAGGATGAACTTGCGATGCATATCTTAACGTTTGAGCTTGCAGATTGCAGATCAATCTATATCGAATGTTATCTACCAGTTTTCGAAAGGTAGCTTATCGAGATTAATCGCCAGTTATTAGACATGTAAGCGAGCGATAATTATAAAAAAAACAGACATGGATTTTGTCAAGTAAAGGAACGAATATACAGAATAGTGGACACATCCTAATATGTGTAGGTTTCCCAAACTGAAAAGTCCTGGTATTATACATACGTAGCAGCATTCGTTCGTAACGTAACATTTATCTGAATGCTCATTACAAACGAATGCTCTAGTCTGCGTCGGCGTTAATAGTGAACAAGCATGCGGGAGAGCATAACTTATCTAGTCTATGTAATAATACTATTTCGCTCTTTTGCGTCAGATGCATAAGCTCTCGAGATATAATATAGAATATGTATGTCTAAGTCATAGCTATAAGTTTCCGTTTTCCATTACGTTTCATATTAAGTGAATTCTATTGATAACAGTGAGAGTTTGATAAAATTTCATATATTAGGTGAAGATTTTAAAAAGATGTAGTTAAATTTTTAGAGACTGAAGGTACCTAAGAAAAAGTTATTAAAAATTTTAATTTCAGGAATCTTTAATAACTTTTTTCTTAAGTA